CATGATAAACTGGACTTCCATGGTGAACTGGACTTCCATGGTAAACTGGACTTCCATGGTAAACTGGACTTCCATGGTAAACTGGACTCCCATGGTGAACTTGACTCCCATGGTGAACTGGACTTCCATGGTAAACTGGACTTCCATGATAAACTGGACTTCCATGGTAAACTGGACTTCCATGGTAAACTGAACTTCCATGGTAAACTGGACTCCCATGGTGAACTTGACTCCCATGGTAAACTTGACTCCCATGGTAAACTGGACTTTCATGGTAAACTGGACTCCCATGGTGAACTCGAGTTCCATGGTAAACTCGACTCCCATGGTGAACTGGACTTCCATGGTAAACTGGACTTCCATGATAAACTGGACTCCCAAGTTAAACTCGACTCCCATGGTAAACTGGAATCCCATGGTAAACTGGACTTTCATGGTAAACTGGACTCCCATGGTGAACTGGACTTCCATGGTAAACTCGACTTCCATGGTAAACTGGACTTCCATGATAAACTGGGCTCCCATGATAAAATGGACTTCCATGGTAAACTGGACTTCCATGGTAAACTGGACTCCCATGGTGAACTGGACTTCCATGGTAAACTGGACTTCCATGGTAAACTCGATTCCCATGGTAAACTGGACTTCCATGGTAAACTGGACTTCAATGATAAACTGAACTCCCTTGGTAAACTGTACTTCCATGGTAAACTGGACTCCCATGGTAAACTGGACTCCCATGATAAACTGGACTCCCATGGTGAACTTGACTCCCACGGTAAACTGGACTTCCATGATAAAATGGACTCCCATGGTAAACTGTACTTCCATGATAAAATGGACTTCCATGATAAAATGGACTCCCATGGTAAATTTGACTTCCATGGTAAACTGGACTTCCATGGTAAACTGGACTCCCATGGTAAACTGGACTCCCATGGTAAACTGGACTTCCATGATAAAATGGACTTCCATGATAAAATGGACTCCCATGGTAAATTTGACTTCCATGGTAAACTGGACTTCCATGGTAAACTGGACTTCCATGGTAAACTGGACTCCCATGGTAAACTGGACTTCCATGATAAACTGGACTTCCATGGTAAACTGGACTTCCATGGTAAACTCGAGTTCCATGGTAAACTCGACTCCCATGGTGAACTGGACTTCCATGGTAAACTGGACTTCCATGATAAACTGGACTCCCAAGTTAAACTCGACTCCCATGGTAAACTGGAATCCCATGGTAAACTGGACTTTCATGGTAAACTGGACTCCCATGGTGAACTGGACTTCCATGGTAAACTCGACTTCCATGGTAAACTGGACTTCCATGATAAACTGGGCTCCCATGATAAAATGGACTTCCATGGTAAACTGGACTTCCATGGTAAACTGGACTCCCATGGTGAACTGGACTTCCATGGTAAACTGGACTTCCATGGTAAACTCGATTCCCATGGTAAACTGGACTTCCATGGTAAACTGGACTTCAATGATAAACTGAACTCCCTTGGTAAACTGTACTTCCATGGTAAACTGGACTCCCATGGTAAACTGGACTCCCATGATAAACTGGACTTCCACGGTAAACTGGACTTCCACGGTAAACTGGACTTCCATGATAAAATGGACTCCCATGGTAAACTGTACTTCCATGATAAAATGGACTTCCATGATAAAATGGACTCCCATGGTAAATTTGACTTCCATGATAAACTGGACTTCCATGGTAAACTGGACTCCCATGGTAAACTGGACTCCCATGGTAAACTGGACTTCCATGGTAAACTGGACTTCCATGATAAAATGGACTTCCATGATAAAATGGACTCCCATGGTAAATTTGACTTCCATGGTAAACTGGACTTCCATGGTAAACTGGACTCCCATGGTAAACTGGACTTCCATGGTAAACTGGACTCCCATGGTGAACTGGACTTCCATGGTAAACTGGACTCCCATGGTAAACTGGACTCCCATGATAAACTGGACTTCCACGGTAAACTGGACTTCCACGGTAAACTGGACTTCCATGATAAAATGGACTCCCATGGTAAACTGTACTTCCATGATAAAATGGACTTCCATGATAAAATGGACTCCCATGGTAAATTTGACTTCCATGATAAACTGGACTTCCATGGTAAACTGGACTCCCATGGTAAACTGGACTCCCATGGTAAACTGGACTTCCATGGTAAACTGGACTTCCATGATAAAATGGACTTCCATGATAAAATGGACTTCCATGGTAAACTGGACTTCCATGGTAAACTGGACTCCCATGGTAAACTGGACTTCCATGGTAAACTGGACTTCCATGATAAACTGGACTTCCATGGTAAACTCAACTTCCATGGTAAACTCGACTCCCATGGTGAACTGGACTTCCATGGTAAACTGGACTTCCATGATAAACTGGACTCCCAAGTTAAACTCGACTCCCATGGTAAACTGGAATCCCATGGTAAACTGGACTTTCATGGTACACTGGACTCCCATGGTGAACTGGACTTCCATGGTAAACTCGACTTCCATGGTAAACTGGACTTCCATGATAAACTGGGCTCCCATGATAAAATGGACTTCCATGGTAAACTGGACTTCCATGGTAAACTGGACTCCCATGGTGAACTGGACTTCCATGGTAAACTGGACTTCCATGGTAAACTCGATTCCCATGGTAAACTGGACTTCCATGGTAAACTGGACTTCAATGATAAACTGAACTCCCTTGGTAAACTGGACTCCCATGGTAAACTGGACTTCCATGATAAAATGGACTTCCATGATAAAATGGACTCCCATGGTAAATTTGACTTCCATGGTAAACTGGACTTCCATGGTAAACTGGACTCCCATGGTAAACTGGACTCCCATGGTAAACTGGACTTCCATGGTGAACTGGACTTCCATGGTAAACTGGACTTCCATGGTAAACTGGACTTCCATGGTAAACTGGACTCCCATGGTGAACTTGACTCCCATGGTGAACTGGACTTCCATGGTAAACTGGACTTCCTTTGTAAACTGGACTTCCATGGTAAACTGGACTTCCATGGTAAACTCAACTTCCATGGTAAACTCGACTCCCATGGTGAACTGGACTTCCATGGTAAACTGGACTTCCATGATAAACTGGACTCCCAAGTTAAACTCGACTCCCATGGTAAACTGGAATCCCATGGTAAACTGGACTTTCATGGTAAACTGGACTCCCATGGTGAACTGGACTTCCATGGTAAACTCGACTTCCATGGTAAACTGGACTTCCATGATAAACTGGACTCCCATGATAAAATGGACTTCCATGGTAAACTGGACTTCCATGGTAAACTGGACTCCCATGGTGAACTGGACTTCCATGGTAAACTGGACTTCCATGGTAAACTCGATTCCCATGGTAAACTGGACTTCCATGGTAAACTGGACTTCAATGATAAACTGTACTCCCATGGTAAACTGTACTCCCATGGTAAACTGTACTTCCATGATAAAATGGACTTCCATGATAAAATGGACTCCCATGGTAAATTTGACTTCCATGGTAAACTGTACTTCCATGGTAAACTGGACTTCCATGATAAACTGGACTTCCATGGTGAACTGGACTTCCATGGTAAACTCGACTCCCATGGTAAACTGGACTTCCATGGTAAACTGGACTTCCATGGTAAACTGGACTCCCATGGTGAACTCGACTCCCATGGTGAACTGGACTTCCATGGTAAACTGGACTTCCATGATAAACTGGACTTCCATGGTAAACTGGACTTCCATGGTAAACTCGACTTCCATGGTAAACTCGACTCCCATGGTGAAATGGACTTCCATGGTAAACTGGACTTCCATGATAAACTTGACTCCCAAGTTAAACTCGACTCCCATGGTAAACTGGAATCCCATGGTAAACTGGACTTTCATGGTAAACTGGACTCCCATGGTGAACTGGACTTCCATGGTAAACTCGACTTCCATGGTAAACTGGACTTCCATGATAAACTGGACTCCCATGATAAATTTGACTTCCATGTTAAACTGGACTTCCATGGTAAACTGGACTCCCATGGTAAACTGGACTCCCATAGTGAACTGGACTTCCATGGTAAACTCGACTCCCATGGTGAACTGGACTTCCATGGTAAACTGGACTTCCATGGTAAACTGGACTCCCATGGTAAACTCGACCCCCATGGTAAACTGGACTTCCATGATAAAATGGACTTCCATGATAAAATGGACTTCCATGGTAAACTGGACTTCCATGGTAAACTGGACTCCCATGGTAAACTGGACTTCCATGGTAAACTGGACTTCCATGATAAACTGGACTTCCATGGTAAACTCAACTTCCATGGTAAACTCGACTCCCATGGTGAACTGGACTTCCATGGTAAACTGGACTTCCATGGTAAACTGGACTCCCATGGTAAACTCGACTCCCATGGTAAACTCGACTCCCATGATAAACTGGACTCCCATGTTAAACTGGACTTCCATGATAAACTGGACTCCCATGATAAAATGAACTCCCATGGTAAACTGGACTCCCATGGTAAACTGGACTCCCGTGGTAAACTGGACTCCCATTGTCAGGGGTCCGCAACCAAAATAACAAGAGCCATTTTTTTCGAATTCGGTATGAAAACAGGTAAATATTTCAAGAGCAACAATGCAGTCCTTAAAGAGGCGCTCCGGAGCCGCGGGTTGCCAACCCCCTGGGGTCTAGCGGATTCACTGCTTCGTCGCAGTCGCACTAGATTCAACCACTACCACCGTACTTGCAGCTAAAAACACTGCCCTTCGTGATGCTTGCTACTTCACTCCCCATCGTTTCTTTGCCCGCGCTCTTAACAAAAAAAACTCTGACTTTGAGAAACGTTATTAACGCTCACATTTTACAATGTTCGTCGTGATGTGGCGTCACTTGGAGTTTTGGCCGTTTTGAGCCAGTGCTCAGCCACGGTCATTTGAAAACTAATTTGAAGGGCACTCACTTTCGAGAATATGTCAGTCCTTTCATGGCGGCGTTTGGGGGCACCGGTCTTTCCTCTGGCCATTCTGAGCAACCTCCTGCCTTGTAAGGACACCTCTGTGCTGCATTCAGCTGGGTGGCGGGCCCTTGGGAGGCGTTTCAATCTCTTGCCGGCGTTTGGAGTGCCCAGGGGCGAGACCTCTTGCAAGCCAAGCATTGCAGCCCACTGTCTCTTGCTAATGGAGCACCGGTAATGCCTGTCGACAATGAGACACGCACACGCAGACACGGTTGCTTTAAGTTAGCGCTAGGAAATAAAACTACACTGTGTTTCCATTGGGTATTAATTATGAGGAACTGTAAATTAACGTAATTATCTGCACTTCCATTCTTGAACCACATTTTATTGTCACTTTTACTTTAAAATAAAGTAAATGGAGTAGAATCAGACCAGAGATAGCCTTCTTTGAGGCCTAGTCTCAACCAGTGTTATACCAGAGAACGCCAATCATTTTCAAAGACAATGCCATATATTACCAGAGCGTGTTTTTGTTTGTGTGTTCATCACAAGAATGCGTGGTTAATTCAGACTTGATTCCTTGCAAAAGGCTTCCTGTTTGGTGTTTGAACATCTTACCGCAACTGTTTTATTGCCAAAAAGGCTAAAACCTATTCTTATACCCTGTACCACCTAATTGGATAACGGCAGAAATTCTGGACACGTGCAATTTTTTTTCAAATATCGACTGAAGGATTTAAGAAAATCTTCAATGAGAATGCTCGTGAAAATGTCTTGGCCTGATGCTGCGTTGCCACAGCCACTGAATAACAAGGTGGCTAAGCTTGCAAACTGTGCAAGTGGGCTCGGGCCTGGAATCCCATGGCAGCCGCACTGGGCCGTGTAAGCTCTACACGAGCTTTATGGCTCGTTTTTACTGAGCTAAGAAGATCACTTTGCAAAGGGAGCGCTGCTCTCTCACAAGGACCAGCCTCGGAACCGGTCAAAACATCCACAATAAATACTATTTGGGTTAGATTGCATAAGTATAAATGTGTCGTTAAACCCGCCACCACCCAACACAGCCAACCAGTAAGGTTTGTCACGTAAACGAAACATGCAAAGTGGTTACTACTTCAGCCCACCGCTGTGTTGGAGAGTTAAACCATGACATTTACAATTTGAGTACGACGTTTTGCTGGTAATTACATCCAGCATCATCGGACAATTTTGACAGAATTGTGAAGGGTCAATTTAGGAGAGATGTGTGTGGTCAGTGGCATCTCTCGCTTAACCTAATTCGCTTGGGTCGCCTTCAAGACCGTGTTTTTATCTAAATAAAATAAAATAAAAACACTGCGAAAGATTACACACGTAAAATGTTATATCTTTGGCAAGACCAAGGCGACACGGGCAAGTGTTAAACCTTGTAAAACAAAAAAAAAACTTGTGAACATTCTTTTCATCTTTTCCCTCTCTGACCCTGAATGGAGCCGTGCATGAGGACAAGAAACAACGAATTCTTGGCTCGTCCTAAGAACACCGCGGCACGGCTTGGGTCTCATTTCTCATGGCCGTGGAAGCGTGGCATTGGTTTGCAAGCAACCCTTGAGTGCAACGTACCCATTCTCCTCCGCGCGTCGCGACTCGTCGTCGTCGTCATCGTCGTCGGCATCATCGTCGGCATCATCGCCATCTTGTTCTTCTTCGTCCGTGCTCGCAGGCAACGCAGGTGGCACTGGAACGCCAGGGCACCGCTCGGCGGTGGGCAGCTCGCACTGCGGGCTGCCCGGGGAAGGCTGCGGCTGCCCTTTGGTGCCGGTCCGTCGGCACTTCCGTGGCGACGGGACGTGGCAGCGAGGAGGCGACGGGACGGGGCAGCGAGGAGGCGACGTGCCCCGTCTCTCCGGGCTGTCGGGAGGGCTTGAACCCAGCGGCTGCTGCCCCCGCCATGGCTCGTCCGCACTCGCGGGCATCGACGCCCCCTCGGTTTGGTGCGGATGCAGCGAATGCGCCACCAACGATTTGTTCCCCACACGGTTTTCTGTGCAATGGAAGGGCACCAAAGTCATCGCCATACCCTGCACCTCCGATTAGCACGGTTGTCTACGTACGGTGCGAAAGAGCTTCAACACACATACAAAGTCTAGGAAAGTTTGAACTTTGTTTTTTGCCCTCATTTCCATCTCGCTAAGGAAGATGATGTCAGCTTCTCTCACCATCTAGATTTCCGGATCCGCCGACTCCAATCCACTGGAAGGCCGGCTTGCGTCCTCCCCCCTCCGACAGTCGCACCTTTTGGATGAGGCCCAGGCTGCTGAGCACGTTGGCGATGTCGTACAAGCGTCGCACCTTGGCTGTGGGTATGAGCGCAGAGGGCGTGTGTGTGTGTGAGGAGGCTGTCTGGGGAAATTGAATGTGAATCTAAAATACTGTTGCGAGTAGCACTCCCATATCGTTTTAATTAAACAACACGCTTTGAAAGTATACAAAGGAAAAAGGTGCAGCCTTGAAAATTCTTACTCGCACCACTGCTGATGGAAGGGCCTCCAATAGAGGGAGCAATAGAGAACCGCCCGAGAGGGTCTTTTGACCGACTCTTGCGCAATGTACAAACATCGTGTAAGAGCTACCATTATTAATAATGCACTTTAATGTGGTTGTGCATACATTCACAATGCAGTGCTGACCTCCAGCCATAACTATAACTTTTAAAGGTACTTTAATATTCACATAGGGCAAACACCAGAACTTTGTGGTGTGGATGACTGTGGAATATAAAACCGAACAAAGTTATATTATTTTGGCCAGATATCTTGGAAGAGGTGGGAGTACCCACGTGCCCTCCTCCTTCCCCCCCCCCTTTCATCTCATTCCACTCCCCCTCACGTGCTCTCCACTGTCAAATGGCCCGGTCAACCTTCGCTGAGTGGGCGGTCACACTCTTTCATTGCTGCCCTCAAAGTGTGGAGCTCCGTTTCCCCCCCCCCCCCCCCAGACATCTGTGCTCTCGACCCCCTGCCCCCACGAAAGTTCAGGCTCACGATTCACCCCCTCCCTCCCTCCTTCCCTCCTTCCCTCCCTCCCCTCTTTTACTATGTCTATGACAAACCTCTTCTCTTAATTGTTACACGTACGTGATCACAATTTCCACCTCTAATATCAGAATCAGAATTCTTTGTATGGACTGGAGGAGGAATCCGATGAGCTATGAAGCTCTTTTTCATAGAAGTCTCCAGTATGGGCGGGTCAGCGAGTTGCAACGGCAAATAATACAAAATAAACTATAGGAGTGCAAAATAGAGAAAATTATTAGCAAGTCCAGACAAACATGCCTCCTGCATGAATATGCCTCCGCACCTACGATTAGCACGGTTGGCTACGTGCGGTGTTAAAGAAGTTCAACATACATACAAAGCAGTCGGGGTATTTCCAAGGCGACAGAGGATAACGTGCTGTGTCCTATGTCAGCTTTGTCAGGTAAAGTTTCCATTAAAGGAAAATGTAAAACCAGTTGAAATCTTCGGAAGGTTTTCTATACAGTTTTGGTAAAATGTGTATCTTAAGCAAATTGGTGTCTCATTGGTGGAAAATTATGAACAAGTAATGTGAATTTGATGGAAAGGCAATGGTGTGAAAGCAGATATCCTGAAAAATGTTTATACTGCTGTACATACATACGTACATACTTTCACCCCTTCAATTCGCAGTTACATGCAGATGAGATACGGTTGCATTCGGACATTTTCCAATATAAAATCTAAATATAAAAACCCGCAGCTATAAATGCTCTGACACGTGTGGCATTGTCTTTGTACTGGTCGCCTTTTTGGCGTTCTCTGTTCTGACACTGGCGGTGAGACTAGGCCATAAAAAAGGCTGTCTCTGGTGTAGGCCAATCAGTTTCAAAGACAATTTATATATTATATTCCTGGTTCTTTCGGTAAAGTCACGTTGAACGGAAACAATAAAATAATAAAATATATATAAAACAAAATTCTCACGACGTTTCGACTGCAACAAAAGCAGTCATCATCAGGTGATGACTGCTTTTGTCAGCAAGTGATGACTGCTTTTGTTGCAGTCGAAACGTCGTGAGAATTTTATTGTTTTATATATTTAATTATTTCCCTTCAACGTGACTTTACCGAAAGAACCAAGAATATGAATCACTGCAGTCACGAAAGCTTTAAATCAAAATTTATATATTATCAGAGCATGTTTGTTTGCATGTTCAGCAAAAGAACGTGTGGCTATTGCAAACTTGATTCCTTGCAAAAGGTATCTATTTGATGTTTGAACATCTTAACACCTATATTCTTGGTTCTTTCGGGAAAATCACGAAGAGAAACAACAAAATAATAAAAATATAAAACTATAAAATTCTCACGACGTTTCGACTGCAACACAAGCAATCATCATCAGATGGACTCGTCCATCTGAATAACTGCCAAATCGCTCTCCGTGGTGCTAATGTTAAAAAAAACCCACCACTTTTTTAAAATTTTCTTGCTGTGGTTTTCACACCTGATGATGATTGCTTGTGTTGCAGTCGAAACGTCGTGATAATTTTATTGCTTTATATTTTTATTATTTTATTGTTTCCCTTCTACGTGACTTTACCGAAAGAACCAAGAATATGAACCCCCGCAGCCACGAAAGCTTTAAATCAAAATCTTAACACCCGTTTTATTACCAGAAAGAGTAAAACCTATTCTTATTTTTTTCAATACTTTGATACTGGCAAAAAGGTCCCGTCATATAAGAAACTAAATTGCGTCGTTCGTGTAAGCCGCCTCACTCTTGAAGGTGCTCTTGCTGTGGACGTCGTCGAGTTTGCTGTCGCAGATCAGGATCTGTGCCGCCATGTCCAGGCTGATGGCTCTTGACCACGACACCAGGAAGAGCATGACAAACTTCTGGCTCATCATGCGCAGCGACTTTTCTTTCCGGCTGCCAGCAGCTGCGGGCGAGGACAGACAAAAAAAAATATATACAAAGTGGTTATAGCCTCATCTTATTGCTCCCACATTGCACGCACATCAGGACGCTGCCTGGGTGTCATGTTGAACACCCCGGATTGGAAATTCAAGATGTTGGCGCTTCAATCTTTCAGTGAAAAGGGCACGGTCCTTAAAAGACCCGCCACGTTTAGTCAATTTGAAGGTCGCACCTAGTGGGATGAAGTGTGGGTATACACACACCTCTTCCGAGATAATCTTGCCAGCGTAGAAGAGTAGGCCAAAATACCCTCGAGAGGGGCTCTCCAGTGGATGCTCTTCCACCAACAGTGGAGTAAGCAAGTAATTGCAGGGCTGCACCTTTACCTATGCCTGCCGAAAAGTCTAAATTGAGCCCTAACACTCTTTCAGCAAGGGACTCGTCTGTGTTGCCCTCAGGGGGGGCGTGCATGGCACACCACTGACTGCGGTGCATCCACACAGGCTGCTTCTGGACAACTCGAAAGGGCACTGCCACTGCGATCATGATGAAATCCCAATACCAGGAGCTGCGGAGCCTGACACCGCCCGGCCCGCGCTGTCTTCGCGGTGGCCCGGCTCCATCGTCGCCCCGCCCTCGGGTGACCCCCCTTGCTCCATCGCCGAGCAGGCGGCGGATCCGGCGTTGCCGCGACCCGGCGTTGGCTTTGGCGCGCCGGCTCGCAGGAGGCCCTCCAGCCTGGCGGGGTAGCCCTGGCGCCGGGCCTCGCGCTCCAGGTCGTCCAGCGTGCGCACCAGGCTGTCGCGGCCGTGCCAGCTGTAGCGATTCTTGGCCACGCGGCTCATGAGCTCCAGGCTCTCGAGAACGTTGACGATGTCGTAGATTCGGCGGCGCTCGACGCCTGTTGGGGAACAAGCCGCGGAGGGGTCGTGTATACGTGTATTAGGTTAGCACGGTTGGCTGCGAACGGTGTGAAAGAAGTCGTAAATACATACAAATTGCACGTTTCCCCCCGTTTTATTCAAATACCCACCCCAAAGAGGCTCGCTGGCACTCTGTCTAGTGGTGGCCCTTTTGCCAGCAGTGTCGTAAGCAATGTCAGGGCTGCACCCATACCTTCGTTCCGACTGTCCGCTCGGCATAAGCTCACGAGACGAACTAAAATCGTTTGCAAACTCTTGCAGAGCAGTTGCGACCTTAATGTGTTAAAGAGAGTGGACCGTGGAAGGAGATCTCACACAACTACATCCAAGATGCCATCAAGTAACATCTTCTATCCACTTTAAAGGGGGGCATTATACTTTCTCAAACACTCTGCTACAGAGAAATGTTCAATGTGTGGCAGTAGAGGCGATTTTTTTGTATTTCAAGGACAATCGGTTTTTTTGCTGCAGTCACTGGTGACCTCGCTGCTCTAATTCCTCCGCCACCGTTCCACATTCAAACACACATTTAAAAACAATCACCGCATAATTAGTCACAACGCTCTTTTGGTTCAATACAGGTTATGTTTGGGGGCGGGGCAGGAGATGTTCCGCATGTTTTCCAACTGGGCCAGCTGGTGTTGTCAGCTGTCCAGTAATTCCAGTGCGAGATGTACCAACACGTGCTCTATGTTGTAAAGCGTGAATTACATATACCCAATCCCAATTTAGAAAACAGCGTTTAACTACATTTGAAACAAAAGCATGCCTGTGCCTAGCCACTATAGTGACACCCTGTCTCCTGTGTAAAACTTTGTTTGGTTAAAGAGCAAAGAAAAACGTGGACATTGACAATGTATGCACCTTGAACTTCTTTCGCACCGGACGTAGCCAACCGCGATAACCGGAGGTACGGGAGAAGGACAAACAAACTAAACACAAATAGCTCTTTTAAAGAAATTAGTTTTCAATCTAGATTTGAAAGTCCATACCTCCAGTGGACAAAGAAAATGGTTAGAATGATACTGAGAGAAAGAGGAACACATGGATCATATGCAAGTTAGACATCCCACTGGCTGTTAACTCAACTGTGTTGGCTCGAGCAGGACCTGTTACTACAAAGGGTAATAGCCAATGGTCCAGACGAATGATGAAGTTGTAACCAAATGAGGGGACACTCGCGGAGAGGCCATCCAACGTGGCGATGACATCAGATCATGTGCAGGTGCGAGATTTGGTGTTGCCACCAGTCTGGGTTTGACCGGGAGAGTCTGGGAATTGGCATCTGTGTTCCAGTGGCAGAAATGGATTTCTGCTAAGATTTGCTGGCATTCATCATCATTAGACCTCCTTTGCCAGTACCAAAATATAATAATAGGGCTTTTCCCCTTTTTTTTCTGGCAACAAAACTGAAACCTTTTTACGAGGATTCATGTCTGCATTAACCACAATACCTGCAGTCAGAATGCAAACAGAAAACATACTATGATAATATATGCATTGTCCTTGAAACTGATTGGTCCACACCAAGGGACGGCTTTCTTTTGAGCATCGACCCAATTGGTGCTCGACCAGATGACGCCTAAAGGCCTTTTGGCGTCATCTGGTCGAGCAGATGTTTCAAGGACAATGCATATATTATCATAGTATGTTTTTTGTTTGCATTTTGACTGCAGGTATTGTGGTTAATGCAGACATGAATCCTTGTAAAAAGGTTTCAGTTTTGTTGCCAGAAAAAAGGGGAAAAACCCTATTATTACATTTGCTGGCATTGTTGTGTTGAACGTAACACAGAATTTAGATAGGGTGATCGAGAAAAATGCCTGGCCTTAGTCTGTAGAAAAGGTGACAACCCTACAGGACTGTGAGGGATAGGCATGGCATGTGGAAGCCTTCACCCAGCAGTAAAATTGATACAGTCATCAACAAACCGAGCTGGACGGCATATTGGTTCAACCCACTGCTTGTGCATTGTATGCCAGCCGTGCGAAGTATTAAGCTGGATGGCAACCTGGTCCAATCTATCCTTTCGCTTTGCCAGATTGCGGTTGTCCACCGGGACGGGAGACGGCGGGGCGGACGAGCGGGCGGGCGGGCGGGCGGGCAAACGTACGACGTACCAAGCTGCGCGGCGGCGTGGTCCAGGCTGACGTCCGGAGTGTGCGTGGGGCCAGCGTAGGGCGGCAGCTTGCGCAGGAATCGCAGACTCAGCAGACCCAGGCTCTTGTCCTTGCGGCTGCACTGGGCCGGGCAATCGCCCTCGTGCCGGACCTCGGGCCACGCCAACTGCGCGGCAGACCGGCAGCGCCCGTTCCCATTGGGTGAGCATCCGGCACGCCGCTGTGGAAGCGCTGCCAGTTTTAAGTGGGGGATTTCCACACGTCCCGTGGCATGTCGTGCGTTATCGTTGGGGAAATTGGGAGTTGTTAAATCGACTGTGGTACTGAGGTGGGTTATTGAGCGCAAACCGTGATGTTTGTGTACATGCGGCTCTTTGTTAATCCACTGCTGCATGATGGCCTCCCCCATACCGTGCGGGTCATGGGGTTCCATTTGACTATACGTGAACCACACTTGTCAACGTGGGTTGGTTAAGACAAGAAGCATAGATATGAGGGCATTTTAATACAGTACAACAACTGATTTTTCTGCACTGCCCACTACTTACCTTGTAGCTCCGCGAGCCCTTCAAAAACTCGTGTGTGCATGGTGGTCAACCATGCAAGCGCTATCCAGGCTCAAGCCTCTGAGCTTCTGAGATTTTCTTCTTGGTTCTTTCGGTAAAGTCACGTAGAATTGGAATTAAATAACAAAAATAAAACGTAATAAAATTCTACGTGACTTTACCAAGAACCAAGAAGATGAATCCCTGCAGTCACGAAAGCTTTAAATCGAAATTCTGAGATCTTATTGTGGGCATTGCGGGTGAGTTCATGCACCTCCGATAAGCACGGTTGGCTACGTACGGTGCGAAAGTAGTTCAACATACATAGAGTATTAATCCATGTGCACTTAATAGGCGGATACAATTAACACATAAGATATCTGATAGCAGGTGAACATTTAGCAAAAAAATGTAAATGACAAAAATGTATTGATGCTGTATCATATAATCAATCAGTTTAAGACAGAACTGGGTGATGACTCAACCCCCTCGCTCTCCCATCCACGGACATTCCATGAATTGTTGTGATTTTGCGTCGAAAATATATTCCTGAATCAATGAGTTGTTGTTATTTTTCTTTTTTTACATTCTGTGGTCATTGTTCAAGCCGGTAACTGTAGTTGACTGCCAGGGTGACACAAACCCATCACATACATCATATATAATTAATATATATTCTTACTCATGCGATTTTATGCATGTATCATGATCTTTAGAATCAATATTAATCGACCAACTAATGCGTCATAAGACCCATAGGCATGTGCACTTCATTACATAACCATAACTAGACGGATCATATTTTTCGTTCCTATCCTGTCTGCATCTTTTTTTCACGCATCTCATTACATCTCAGTGTATATCTGCATTTCTCTCTTCTCCCTGCATCTACATATCTTGTTCGTTTCTCTTCCGTGATCTCACCGGTATTTTACCACTTCTAAACAGGTGGGTGGTGTGTGGGTTGGTGGAAGAACCCCAAACGTAGTTTGTGCTTGGGGGCCCCCCAATGTGTCGGCCACCGCAACTTCATTCGGGACTCACGTTTGCTCAACAGCTCCTCACTTCGCACACCGCGCAAACTCCATTTCACACGCCGCGTACTTCCGTTCGCCGCCACAATGGTAGGTACGGGCAAAAGAAACGCGTTACTTTTTCCCGTAAAAAAACATTTCGCGATGTACACGCGCAATTTGTACGCGCGCGCATCGCCACCTTAAAAAAAAAAACCCAACGCCACCGATTGACGGAGCGGTTCCGCCACGAAGCCGTCCGCAGCGGCGCCGCGGGACGGCGGTAACCTCGTGCTCCGCCGCTCACCTCCTCATCTCCGGCCGGCCGTTCTGGCTCCCAGCTCGCGCGGGGAAGCTCGGGGCCCTCCGCCGCCGCCGCCGCGCCCGGCTCGGCCGCCGCCGCCAGCAGCCGCTCGAGGCAGGACGCGTCGCGCGTGCCGGGCCGGCGCCCCGCTGCCGACGCCGCCGAGGCACGCGGCCGCGTCGCTGTCAGGGCAGCGGCCGCGGTGGCGTCCAGGGGCACGTGGGGCGCGGGAGCCCCGCGAGGAATGGCGGTGGCCGTGGCGGTGGCCGTGGCGGTGGCCGTGGCCGTGGCCGCCCCGTTGAGCTTGCACTGCGAAGTCGTTGCCAGGCCGAGGCTTTTCCTCAGCATTGGGTGCAGGGATTTCTGGACCGTCGACTCCAAACAATGGTTTTCCTGCGGCCGGAAGATAACAGTCTCACGGATCGTCTGCCACATTTGAGGAATTACCCGCAAAAAAAACCACTACAATTGTAAACGAGCAGGAATGTCACCCCCCAACTGTGAAACTACTCCAGAACGGACACCCGTCCGTGAAACACGGCGCCTTCGTAACCTTGCGCAATAAGAACTGCGAGGACACCAGATGTTCCGATGATTTGAATGAACGGACAATTGCTGCTGACGATAACTTACGACGATTATCGTGGGTGATTGCGGATGCCAAACAAAGTCGCGTTGCATCTATCGGTCACGCGTGACACCGTGTGCAGAGTTGCGGTCAGTCGCGCGAGGTTCCCCTGGTGCCTTGTCACCGATACCTTCTGTGTGTGGCGAGGCAAGCTTGCGTGTTCCCTCGCATGCCAGACTGGCCGAGGTCTGATGGGCATTTGGTGGCGCTTCGGCACAGTGGGATCACAGAGACTCGGACACCCGTCCGTCTCGCCTGCCATGCCCTGAGGGGAGACACACGGAGCCATCATCCACCAGGCAAAGCCCTCGGCATCGCTCCGGGTCCACGGAGAAGCTGGAGTCGAAGTCACTGACCTGAAACAGCCATAGTCACACTTAAGGCCAGTTTTTACGTTAAGAAATTGCATTTCTAAAGGTGAGCAATTAAGTTGTGTGGAGCCTGAAAGTGTTAAAATTCATGAACGGTTTAACACGGTTAATTTCCTCTTATCCACGTCCCCGTAATTTGTCCTTCCTATTAATTGCGGAACCCTCTGAATAAACTGCGAGCCAAGGGAGTCGTGCAGCAGTGCCTTCCTATTGTCCCTGTATTCCGCAGACAAGGAGCTGTACGGTAAAATCCATCCTGTTATCCACAGGTAAAAGGCGCACCTCGAAAGCGGGAGTCGCAGGTCAACAACCCCCCACCGAGTATTCCCTGCGGTTTGTTTTTACAGATTAAAATAAAATGAAATTATCGCAGCAAATTCGTACTTGTTTCCCCATTTGCTGAGTGATTTCGCAGTCAAGGAGAAAAGCGTGGATAATAGGATGCTTCAATTGAGATGGGTTTTAAAATTTACCAATGGCCTAACTCTTGCGAGTGACGTCACGGGATCTTTAACGTCCACCGCGAAGCAAACGGGGCATAGATATACGGTTAATACACACCGCAGTATTAATCAGGGCGGCCGCTGGAATCGAACCTCGTGTAACCAGCAGCGAATCCCCTACAGCTAAGGCCATGTCATCACCCCAAAGACAACGACCCCCCGGTATAGCCTGAGGACCGGTTCAGATATTTGTGAGCAGTGTTGGCTCGGTTTATAGCAGAGATCACTAACCACTGCGCCACCGCTCCCCGCTTGTGCATGCAATTCACACAACATACATTATGTAACATGCGCACTCTTATACTGTTTGGTGTCATGTACGCGGTTTAAATAATCGGTCGTGTCATCCTGTTATCATCCTGTTCTCCGTCATGCAACGCTGTGCAACGTCATATGCTGTGGGAGTGCGGAGTAGACTACACACAGATGTTATTATAGTACTTGTAAGCGAGCTATCCGTGAACTCTGCTGTACTCCCGCAAGAAAATCACTCGAACAGAAACTTGGCCAAACGTCTCAATGCAGGGTTCCTCCTGACAAAAAAATCATCTTGTGGACTCAGCGAGAGCTACCGCTGTTAAATGCATGTCACTGGCGTATAATAATTGTGAGTGTCACGAACGTGTACTCAAAGGGTCTCATCTTTGCACAAATCTGGGCTTACTTTTAACCGCTCCCGTTCAAATGTGGAACGACGGAAAGGATGGGGAAAAAAAACATCCCAACGCATCGATTGTGAGTACGTCCGTGCAATAGTAACTACTAATAGGACAACATTACGAATTCACGCATTCGGTGCGGTCATCCGAGACTCGCTCGCCAGAAATCCACGAGTAAGAGACGGTAGTCAACCCCCAACACAACGCGTCTGTTCCGTCGTCACCATGTCTGGGACAAACAACAGGCACAGTCTCTGCACGTGCTGTTGCTGCTGCTGCTGTTGGCTCACCGTCGTACCGCCAGTACTTTCGGTTGTCAAGAGCCGTGACGATATCGAAACATTTAAATGCTATCACCATCGTGACGCCGCAATCAATCGGGTCGTTCGTTCGTGTGATACCACACACACACAACAACAACAAGTGAACTCACCGTTCTGTCTGCGTGGTGCCACCGCATGAAATTGCTTGTGCTCCCAAAAGGACCGTCTTATTACACCCGCGGAAACGCCTTTGATGAACAGCAGCTACACGAAGTCCACGCGAACTTTATTTTTTTTTTGTAATCGCCTTGTGACAAACAACTCGCAGGGCGCGACCAAGAGCTCCTGCCGAAACGTCGGACAACCAACGGACTCGCGCAAGCCTCTTCGGCTTTGCGCGCGACCCTTCTTCACAAGAGGGCCAGCAACTTCCACGAAGTTGCGTTTGTCGTCACGTGTTAATACTTACCATTGTTACTTGTGAGCTCGGCGGCTTTTAAAACGTCTGCGAAGGCGAGATGGGTGCGGACTCTGAACGGGCTAGGGAGGTGAGCGCGCGCAGAGAGAGAGAGAGCGAGCGGCTAGGACGAAACGCGTCGATTTAAAGTGCGGTGGATGCTCAACTGCACACAGCCAGGAACCAATTGCTGATCAATGGGATGCAGGCTGGGCGGTGCAGGCGAAGAACAGCAGCAGCAGCACCACCAGTGAGCTCTGCGCTATATAGGTCAGCCTTGGCGCGCCGCACACCCGAAATTTACCGCGCTTTCTCATGCCCCACCCCTCTCACACACACACACACGCGCGCACACACACGACGACAACCCAGCCCACCGACACGCATCGCATAGCCACCTCCTCACCCACCCACCTACAAGGCGACGAGGGGGTGGCCCCCACGCACCCAACCCCGAGTGATCAGAGAGCGGCGGTGGGGGGGGGGGTGCACAAATAAGTGGTGGGAGGGGAGGAAGGTGACAGACGTTTACTCGCAGGCGGGGTTTTTTTTTGCTCTCCGTCCTGGCTGTTTATATTTCAACATCTCAACCCCGCCATCCCAGCCAACCAACTATCCACGCAGACGTCCACTTAACCAACCATCCACCCGGCCATCGGCTCATCCATCCAGCCACACATACACACAGCCAAACATCCAGCCATTCATCCAACTCAACCATCCAGTAGCTGTCTACCCACCCAGCCATACACTTAATCAATAATCCACGTAACTATCCGTACAACCACCCACTCAACCATCCACCTACCCAGTCATCCACTCAACCAACCATCCACCCAGCCAGTCATCCACCCACGTATTCATCCACTGAACCAATCATCAACCCACTTGTCCATCTACCCAAACCAACAATTCACTCGACCATTTAGCCAGCCAATCATCCACGCAACCAATTCCCCACCCGCCCAGCTATCCACTCACCCACCCAGCCATCCATCCACCCACCCAGCCATCCACTCACCCAGCTATCATCCACCCACCCAGCCATCCACTCACCCAGCCATCCACTCACCCACCCAGCCATCCATCCACCCACCCAGCCATCATCCACCCACCCAGCCATCCACTCACCCGCCCAGCCATCATCCACCCACCCAGCCATCATTCACCCATTCAGCCATCCACTCACCCGCCCAGCCATCCACCCACCCAGCCATCATTCAACCACCCAGCTATCCACTCACCCGCCCAGCCATCATCCATCCACCCAGCCATCCATTCACCCGCCCAGCCATCATCCACCCACCCAGCCATCCACTCACCCACCCACCCAGCCATCATCCACCCACCCAGCCATCATCCACCCAACCCAGCCATCCACTCACCCACCCAGCCATCATCCACCCACCCAGCCATCATTCACCCACCCAGCCATCCACTCACCCGCCCAGCCATCATCCACCCACCCAGCCATCATTCAACCACCCAGCTATCCACTCACCCGCCCAGCCATCATCCACCCACCCAGCCATCCACTCACCCGCCCAGCCATCATCCACCCACCCAGCCATAATCCACTCACCCAGCCATTCACTCACCCACCCAGCCATCATCCACCCACCCAGCCATCCACTCACCCACCCAGCCATCATCCACCCACCCAGCCATCCACTCACCCACCCAGCCATCATCCACCTACCCAGCCATCCACTCACCCAGCCATCATCCACCCACCCATCCACTCACCCACCCAGCCATCATCCACCCACCCAGCCATTCACTCACCCGCCCAATCGGCCCATCCCACCACGCTCTTGCACGAAGCCCGCTCTTTCCAGCTCTCGCTTTGAGACTTTTTTTTTACCCGCGGAAAATCCCGCCAACCCGAGCATTATACGGCCCTAAATGTGGGGTCTGTGGAACGGTGTGCAGGGTTGCCTGATTGTGCGCGGAACTATGGCACAACAACAAAAAAGCTTGGCATCGTAACCGCACTATTTAATCTACTCACTTGTCTGTAGACTCACAAAGAGTACGGTACAACGCCGTTAATCCGACCAGTTCACATATCACCCTATACATAAAATCCCCAACGAATCGGAACTTGCTGTGGACAATGTTTAATATTAAATGCATATTATTCTAACTCTATATCAGACGTTGTTTAATTAGCTTTATAACAATTTGAAATCTGTGTTCACCTTATATTTAACCACATCACGAACATTCGCCGAACAACACCAATGATAAATCGTTGTTAAAAAAAAACCCCAGTCCGAGCGACCCATTGAGTTCGCCTTTTCGTGATTACAGATCTTCATTCGCCTCTCCGCGTAGTATGCGAGACGTGTACAGCAACTATCAGGCGCGTGCGGCGTGTAACAGTTGTATTGGGATGGAGAAAGTTGATCAACGTGGAAAGACGTACGGATGACGGTGAGACGAGAGAATGAGAGTTTGGGAAAGCTTCTGCTCAAACCCCAACAATAATAATCGCCCTCACTCCCTACGAAAAAAACCTCACGCAGTCGGACTCTACAATACTGCAATACACATTAGTCCAGGGTCTGCAAGCTGCGGATCTGCAGCCACATGCGGCTCTTTAGGGAGTGCTTCGTGACATGTATTAAGGATCACCGTTTCGTATTCACCACAGTGCATTGCGACTCTTGAAATGCTAAAACATTTTTTTACGAATTCCAAAAAAAGGATCTTATTGTCATTTTGGTTTCCGACGATTGCATTAGCCCAACTCTTTAACCTAATTACTTGGATCCAAGTCACATACCCGTGGGCATCCCTCAGTAGGTTTTTCTGACGCGATTTTATACTCCAACGAATTTGCTTGACGAATCAAACGAAATCAATTGAATGAAGCAGCCTATACTAAGCAAGACATAAAAGAACAGGTTTGTTTAATTGCGTAAAAACGAAAGACACTAGTTATGCTGCACTGCTATAGGCCTCCGAAGACTAATTATTTCTTACTTTATTAGCATATATTTAATGGTAATCAAGCAAGCTGTTGAACAGGTTTCAACTTTCCCAGGATCAGCAGGAGGGTGCGACACGTGCAATTGTTCATCACGACACGCGCGATCACTTCAGGAGTTATAGATTTGAAGCTTTCGTGACTGCAAGGATCCATACTCTTTGGTTCTATTCGGTAAAGTCACGTAGGTAAAAAATAAAACAACAAAAATCACGACATATTCTTAGCTCTTTCGGTAAAGTCACGTTGAAGGGAAACAATAAAATAATAAAATATATATAAAACAATAAAAATTATCACGATGTTTCGACCATAACGCAAACGGTGATGACCGTTTGCGTTATGGTCGAAACGTCGTGATGACCATTTGCGTCATGGTCGAAACGTGAGAATTTTTATTGTTTTATATATATTTTATTATTTTATTGTTTCCCTTCAACGTGACTTTACCGAGAGACCTAAGAATATGAATTACTGCAGTCACGACAGCTTTAAATCAAAAATCACGACGTTTCGGCCACAACACAAGCGGCCTTCATCAGGTGAAGGGACCAGATTGTCTCGAGGACAGCGCAAATTTTTATGCGAATTCCTTTGTCAAGGCACCTTAATTACTCTCACACAGCTTTAAAGTCGCAGTCTGAGCTTGACTGTGTTTCACTCCAGCGCTGTTCTCGAGACAGTCTGGTCCCTTCACCTGATGAAGGCCGCGTGTGTTGTGGCCGAAACGTCGTGATTTTTGTTGTTTTATTTTTTTACCTACGTGACTACACTTCAGGAGTGTTAACACAAATCGGTTCATCATCATCATCAACCATGATCAATCCACTCCTGGATGATGGCCTCCACGAGTCGTCTGGCCACACGCGGCCCTGCCGCTGGTTTTGTATCGCGCGCCTGTAAACCGGCCGGTTCCCATCGCGCCATCTCGCCCCGTGCTGTCAATCCGCTATGGGGCCGTTCATAAATGACGTCACGCACCTAGGGGGGGGAGGGGGTCAGACATTTGTGACGATGTGTGACGAGGAGGAGGTGGGGGGGGGGGGTTTGAGAAATGTGACGTCACATCAAAATGCGCAACTTTAAATAAATATAGACAACACGTTCTACTTAATTTAATAGACTTTTTATTAAATATTTTCTCCTACAACATCAGAGTGCAGCTCTACCTTAAATACACACTACAATGACAATAGTTTAAAGCGATTTGACGCATGTTTTATATTTTGGGGGGGGGGGCAGAGCTTTGTGACGTCATATTTGAGGGGGGGGGGGGTCTGACTTTTTGTGACGCCGTGTGACGAGGGGGGGGGGTCAAAAATCGTCCAAAATCACGTGACGTCATTTGTGGACGGCCCCTATGTAGTCTCAATCGTCACTCTTCGGGGGGGGAGTGCGACAGCTCAGTGCGGAGTAAATCATTAAACGTTTTAAAGGTTTTGTTGTTGGTTATCAATAGGTAATTGATTTGCGTATTTTCATTAATCCGCTTAAAGGGTGGCGTCACTGAATTTGTCGTCTTATAATTAAGCGGGATCTGTTTGGCCGCTCGCTTTGAAGATGATTTACAAACTTTGTAATACACGCTTCCAGCCGCAGTGTTAATGTATTTAATTGTTCTGATTGTTGATCTCTGAGCTTCGAATGCGTGGAGATGGAAGCCGTCGGTAGGGTTGGGTGAGCAATCGTAACTGGTGGAGATAGCCGCGTGTAGGATATCTGGCTGTAGGGTAGCCGTGTGCGTGTAGCTGTGTGTGTGTAGTCGTGTGTGTGCAGCTGTGTGTGTGTGTAGTCGTGTGTGTGTGTAGTCGTGTGTGTGTGTAGTCGTGTGTGTGTGTAGCCGTGTGTGCGTGTAGCTGTGTGTGCGTGTAGTCGTGTGTGTGTAGCTGTGTGTGCGTGTAGCTGTGTGTGTGTGTAGTCGTATGTGCGTGTAGCCGTGTGCGTGTAGCTGTGCGCAGGGTATCTGGGTGCAGGGTATCAGAGGGTAGGGTAGTCGTATGTGGGTAGCCGTGCGTAGGCTAAGCCGCGTGTGTGTAGTCGTGTGTGTGTAGCTGTGTGTGTGTAGCTGTGTGTGTGTAGTCGTGTGTGTGTGTAGTCGTGTGTGTGTGTAGTCGTGTGTGTGTGTAGTCGTGTGTGTGTGTAGTCGTGTGTGTGTGTAGTCGTGTGTGTGTGTAGCTGTGTGTGTAGCTGTGTGTGTAGCTGTGTGTGTGTGTAGTCGTATGTGGGTAGCCGTGTGTAGGGTAAGCCGCGTGTGTGTAGTCGTGTGTTTGTGTAGTCGTGTGTGTAGCTGTGTGTGTAGTCGTGTGTGTGTGTAGCTGTGTGTGTAGCTGTACGATCCATCCTGGGTTTAACCGGGCTGGATTGTGTGAGGAGCTCACAAATCCTTGAAAGATCTGGGCAAAGTCCCATCGGTGAGCTCCTCCGGCAGGCAAGGCTGCGTTGGCTGGGTAATG